TCCCCAGCCAAGGCAGGAATCTCCACACACCCCCCAAGAAGGGTTCTCTTGGAAGAACCTGCCCCTGGGAAAGGGGACTGCCCCTCTCTGGTAGAAAGGAATGGACTGACAGTCGCTGGACTCCAGGGGTTGCCTCATCATCAGGGGCTTCATTCGGGGTGGAAGCAGCGGCCGAAGCTCTTCCCGCAGTCGGGGCACTGGTAGGGCTTCCCTTACTGGTGGGTCCGTTGGTGTTGGGTCAAGTTACAGCTCTGGGTGAAGCTCCTCCCACACTCCCCACACTTGTAGGGCCTCTCTCCGGTGTGGATGCGCCGGTGGGTGATGAGGGTGGAGTTCCGGTTGAAGCTCTTCCCACAGTCGGTGCAGCGGAAGGGCCTCTCATCCGTGTGTGTCCGCTGGTGCAGGAGGAGATGTGAGCTGGTCTGAAATCTCTTCCCACATTCCAAGCACATGTAGAGCCGTTCCCCAGTGTGGACGCGCTGGTGAGCATGGAGATGGGAGCTGTTCATGAAGCTCTTCCCACATTCTCCACATGTGTAGGGACGTGCCCCTGTGTGTATGCGCTGGTGGGCATGAAGGTCGGAGCTGCTCCTGAAGCTCTTCCCACATTCCCCACACTTGTAGGGCCGTTCCCCAGTGTGGATGCGCTGGTGGGTGAGGAGGGTGGAGTTGTGCTTGAAGCTCTTCCCACATTCCCCACACGAGTAGGGCCGTTCCTCACGGTGGATATGCTGGTGTCGGATCAGGTGGGACTTCTGGCTGAAGCTCTTCCCACATTCCCCACACGTGTAGGGACGTTCCCCAGTGTGGATGCGCTGGTGGCTGAGGAGGTGGGAGCTCTTCCTGAAGCTCTTCCCACATTCCAAGCACTTGAAGGGCTTCTGCCTGCTGGGAGGCTGCTCAGGGACCACCAGGTCAGAGCTCTGCCTCAAGCTCCAGCCGCTTTCCCGGCACAGGTTGGGTCTTTCCTCCTCAGAGCACCCTGGGCTGGCTTTGGAGCCCCTCCTGTGGGGGGATCTCCGGCCCTTTTCCTCCCTGTTGCCTTCCTGCACCGTGGAGCCCTTCAAAACGGCCTCTCCCACCAGCTTCTCACAGGGGGATTTGTCCTCCGGGCTCTCCGTCCTCAGCTCGGGGCCTGGGG